GTCTAGGGTAATAACACTGCTAGTTTCCTATGACATCCTATTTCTAATGCATGTCTACCCCTGTAATGTTCCAGTCTAAGGTAATAACACTGCTAGTTTACTGTCATATTCATTAATGCTTGTCATGTTGCTATTTCTAATACATGTCCAACAAAGAAAAGATGAAGAAGGAACAAACCAGACCAACTTATAACAAGCTGAGCCCAGATTGTTAATACTATTATGTCATAAAAGTACATTGTTAATACTTTATTATAGAAGTATAATGTTAATACTCTGTCATAGAAGTACATCATTAAACAAAAATGAGATCCATAACTGAAATAGTAACAAAAGATAAATTGATCATCAAAACTTAAAATACATTTCGAAAATCAACTCAAATCTGAAGAGAAACACATAATTGAAGCAAAAGATAAAAAATCTCAAGTCCAAACCAAACGACGATGACAATGATGACGACAACGACGACGATGACGTGGCGAAAGAGGAGTAGAGCTCGAAGATGAGGAGTAGAGCTAAGAGCATCTGATCTAGGTTCGTTTGAGGTCTTGAACAATTCGGAAAAAAAAATAAAATCAATAGAAACACGATTTTAGAACAAGAAATCGAGGGTGAAATATTGAAGATTGTAGATTAAAGATGAAGAATAATATAGTTGGACTTGAGACTGAGCTTCAATGGAAGCTCCTCTTGCTCCAACACTAGAGAAAGCACCAGCGAGAAAGGAAAAAATAAATCTAATTTGGTTTTTTGGCAGATCTGATTTTTCTCTCTCAAATCCATAGTATAAGGGCAATATAGGTATTTAACACACACAAATAAACTAAAAAACAGCTAATAAATTGAAAAAATTGACAACTGTTGATTTGGGATTTTTTTTTTGGTGTGTTTATAATTTTTAAATGGTATAGGGTTTCTTTATAAGATTTTGTCCCCATACCATATGAAGGATATGGTCGATGGGGATTTGGTCACCGTGAGATGCTTCTCAATTTAAGCATAAATCTCCATATGGTCCATGGGAATTTGGTCACTGTGAGATGCTTCTCAATTTAAGCATAAAGTTCTTGTGAAAAGTAAGAATGTGGATTGGTCTCCCCATACCATATGAAGAATATGGTCCATGGGGATTTGGTCATCGTGGGATGCTTCTCAATTTAAGCATAAATCTCCATATGGTCCATGGGGATTTGGTCACTGTGAGATGCTTCTCAATTTAAGCATAAAGTTCTTGTGAAAAGTAAGAATGTGGATTGGTCCTCATCACATGGTAATGAATACATGCATATTCCAAGTGTTGTGCAATTGAATTGCTTGGAAAGTGCTAAGGCCCTAGAGTTTGAAATAGGTATGATCTTGAGATTTTGACAACTTCAAGAAATTCAACAAAATTTATAAGTTGAAGGCGATCCGAATTGATCACTGATAGCACTACTAGTAGAGATGGAGTTGAGAAATTTTCTGAAAACTCAATTAATGCACGACATACACAACCTTATTACAGAGATTGAGAGCTGCACATAAACTAACAAAAACTCAATTATTGCATGGCATACTCAACTCTATAATATAGTTCAAACCGAATTATGAAACAAAATCAATACACGTAAAAACTTGAGTTTTACCAAGAATCAAAAGCTGCACATGAACTAAAAAAAACTGTTAAATTTCATTTTTGGGGGGGTCAATTATATAAAAGATCTATGTACGCATGAGCTCTAGCAAGAAGAACAATCAACTCGGCATTAGGCGCACTTCTGGACCTGATCAGGTCTAAACGAATAGCATGCTTATATATATTAAGAGCTACAAACCTAACAACTTGACCGCATAGCGCAGTGGATTAGCGCGTTTGACTTCGGATCAAAAGGTCGTGGGTTCGACTCCCACTGTGGTCGCATATCGTTTTTTCATATGTTTTTTTTTACTCCCTTTTGGACCCAATGCAATATAACAAGGAAAGTTCGTCTCCTTGTTGGACTCCAATTTAAAGTCCATTTTATCTAATGGGCCTTGAATGTGTCCTCTTCCCGATTTTGTGGAAGGCCCATCCTCCCATGTTTGGTGCAATTCAACAACATTTTTTGCTTTTATGGGAGCGTTATTTTGTAGAATGAACAATTGAAATACATAGCTCATCATACTTTCATCAACAACAATATGCATCTATTTTCATCAATTTTACATCTCATCCCTCTCGTCTACTTTCACATCTAATGATTTAATAGGTAATCACTTGAACTAAATTATGCATGAAGCACTTTACTCATAAGCGTTTTCTTTGAAGCATTTCGAATGGGAGCGTTATTTTGTAGAATGAACAATTGAAATACATAGGTCATCATACTTTCATCAACAACAATATGCATCTATTTTCATCAATTTTACATCTCATCCCTCTCGTCTACTTTCACATATAATGATTTAATAGGTAATCACTTGAACTAAATTATGCATGAAGCACTTTACTCATAAGCGTTTTCTTTGAAGCATTTCGAAATTTTATTAAAAATTCAAGTACTTTATGAAAAATCACTTGAAATGCGCTGTATAAAGAATAAGCCTAAATGCTTATCTTTAAAATGTTTTTTTAATTTTTTTTATGAACAATGGGCATTTACCTCAGTAGTTGAGGTCTTTGTTTGCAAACCCCATGACACTAGTTCGAATCCCCTTTGTGAGTGCCCCCACCCTTTAGAATATAATTCTCTCCTCCCCTTAAAATAGAATATGATCGAATAAAAAAAAAATGTTTTTTATGATCTATAAACACACTGCGTTTGTATAAATACTTCCTAAAAAAGCATTGCGTTTTTTATAACCCAAAAGCACTTTCGAGTTTTTCTCCTTAAAATGTGTCCTCTGTACATTAGTATTGTGACTGAAAAGTTCCACAAAGCATTGCGTATTTTATAACCCAAAAGCACTTTCGAGTTTTTCTCCTTAAAATGTGTCCTCTGTACATTAGTATTGTGACTGAAAAGTTCCACTTCACACTCGCAAACTAGTCCGCACCATAAAATTTTCACACCAAAACGCGCGTTTGCTGAAGCGGGTGCAGTCCAAGCAATCCCTTCCCTTCCTAATTACTCAAAGCAAACCCCCATCTCATCATCATTTACAACATCATCATATTTATTTTCCCCATAAGTTAACAACTTCTTCAGAAACAGACCTTCCAACCTCATCACCATGATTTGATTGATTAATTGCACCACCCACAATCAAATTTAGCTTCAGCACACTGCTTCACTACCTTCTTCAACCTTCAACAGCAACAACCACCCATTTATCAGCTCCACCTGAAAGTCTCTGTCTTATTCTCAAAACCCAAACAAAAAGAAGAAGTGACAGGAGCACAATCCCAATCTCAATCTCAATTTCTCAAGCATGAAGCAATTGCACAAGCAAGCGAGCGTGAATCAAAGGAGGGACGAAGAGATCCCATCAAACCTAGCCTCAACCTACTCTCCCAAGGCTCTCAAACACCCTCGATCTCTCCCCAGATCCATCAACTACCTCTTCAAAGAACAGAGGCTCCTCTTCATCCTCGTTGGCATTCTCATCGGCTCCACCTTCTTCATCCTCCAGCCCACCCTCTACCGCCTCGGCCCATCTGACCCCAACAACCCCACCACCTCCATCTCCAGATCCTTCTCCACCGCCCATGATCTCGTCTCCAAGCCCACCCATGCCAAGGTGGGTCGGATCCCCGTTGGGCTCGGCAAGCGGAGGCTCCGAATTGTCGTCACCGGCGGTGCTGGGTTCGTTGGGTCTCATCTTGTTGACAAGCTCCTTGACAGAGGCAACGACGTGATTGTGATTGATAATTTCTTTACCGGGAGGAAGGATAATCTGGTGCACCATTTTGGGAACCCGAGGTTCGAGCTCATTAGGCACGACGTCGTTGAGCCGATTCTGCTGGAGGTGGATCAGATCTACCACTTGGCCTGCCCTGCCTCCCCTGTTCATTATAAGTACAACCCAGTCAAGACCATTATATCCTTTTTAGTCAATCATGTTCGTTCTTAGTGTTTGTGATCACTCTTTCTTTATGGTTTTGATTGAATTTTGGCATTTGGGTTGTTTTTGTTTAGTTTAGTTTGCTTTTTTGGGTTGAATTTTGAAAAAATAAGGATTTTGAGGTCCTTGACTGTGATTACAAGACCAATGTGATGGGTACTCTTAATATGCTGGGACTTGCCAAGCGAATTGGGGCAAGGTTTTTGCTCACCAGTACGAGTGAGGTGTATGGGGACCCCCTGGAGCATCCTCAGAAGGAGACTTACTGGGGAAATGTAAATCCTATAGGTGTGTTTATATGTTAGATGTTTATGTCTATAAAATGTTTGTGTATAATGCATTTTGTTTCTTGCTTAATATGTTTATAAATATTTGTCTCTGTGTTTATGCTTGAAAATGAGCAGGTGAGAGGAGTTGTTATGATGAAGGAAAGAGGACAGCAGAGACATTGGCAATGGATTATCATCGAGGTGCAGATGTCGAGGTAACTGAAACAATGGTTCTGATATGCAGTTGTAAATGTGCTATCGTGGAATCCATAATTTGATGCCTGGATTGATAGGCATGCAGATATAAAATGTTAACGTCATTCTTTAAAATGGCAGTAAGATCATGTAGAATTAGTTTAATCTTGAGAAACTGCATGATTTCTTCAATTTTGTGGCACCTGCCCTCCTTGTTTTCCCTTATAGGTACATTAGACTTTCGACGACCTGGTCAGTTTTATTTATTTATCTTTACATAATCTTCTTTATAGTCATTTTTTCCCCAGCAAACTATTCTGCTTTATACTTTAGTTGTCATTTTAAATGTTGATTCAATGGACCTTTTAAATATGCCATAGTACCTTTTAGATATGCCATAGTTTTGAAGCTGCCAAGAAGCTACACATGACATTAGAAATTTGTAAAATTAGGGGTTGCAAGTAGCCAAGTGAAATTTATTGCTTGGGCTTTCCTTGTATGGTTGCTTGAACTTTATGGTAATGCCCAATTTTCACACTAGCCCAGTGAATTTTGTTCTTTGGGCCTTGTATAGTTGTTTGAACTTTCTGGTAGTGCCAATGGTCATCCTTGACCTGTTTCACTTTTAATTGATCCTTGGCTGAGGTATACAGATCATTGTTTTTCCAGGCTTGAGTTTAGAACATTGTCTCATCCAAATGCTTTTGAAATCCTTTCCTGTCATGGAGAATAACTACTGTAGTTCAAAGTAAGATAGGATTTGGTTCGGTTTCCACCATTAACTTGTCAGACTCACATAAGGCTTTCTGTTTTCAGGTCCGTATTGCTCGAATTTTCAACACTTATGGTCCACGTATGTGTTTGGATGATGGGCGTGTTGTCAGCAATTTTGTTGCTCAGGTTAATACTTAATACTACCTTTTTCTTTTAAAGTGGTTTTGAGATTTCTGCTATTAATAACTCATGACTACTGGGATGTTTCCTAATGTGATTATCATTGTTGTGCTTTTCTAACTGTTGTGGGGCTACCTGTGTAGGCTATCCGCAGACAGCCATTGACTGTGTACGGTGATGGTAAACAAACACGAAGCTTCCAATATGTCTCTGATTTGGTATGGTAGACTTTCTGCAGTTTCAATATGCAGTTCTTTCTATGGAACTTTAGCACATGCCATATTACTTATGCATATTCTGCATCTTTGCCACATTTTCTTCTGGGACCTTGAAATATTTACATCGTATGCCTGGCACAATAGGTCTCATTATTGTCAGCCAATTCTAGAATCAGTTAAACTTGAGAAGATGAACTGAAAGATTATATCCTTTTTGTCTGCCTTTGAACTGTAATGGGCTTTTGATTGAAACTGCCTTAATTAGTGAATTGATGTGGTGGATGATCTAATAACACTTTTTTTTAATGATAGGTCAATGGACTGGTGGCATTGATGGACGGTGAACATGTGGGGCCTTTCAACCTGGGTAATCCAGGGGAGTTCACCATGCTAGAGCTTGCTGAGGTTTGCCTTTTCCACCTTACCATAATTTTAATGTTTTTCATACACTCCATTTAGACATCAGAAAATGCTCCAAGGTGCTTGGACGGTAATTCTTTTAAATTTTTGTAGTGATTTTGCTCCTTTTTATCCTTTTTTTTGTCCCAATATCCAGAATCTGATAAGAGTTTGATATTCTTGAGTGATTTTTATGCTTGCAAATGAAGAGCAATTCTACGCTGGCATTCTCAAATTTTCACATTTTCCTGATGAACAGGTTGTCAAAGAAACAATTGATTCAAGTGCGACAATAGAATTCAGACCAAATACTGCTGATGATCCGCATAAGAGGAAACCTGACATTAGCAAAGCAAAGGAGCTATTGAACTGGGAGCCAAAAGTGTCCTTGAGGGAGGGACTGCCTCTTATGGTGAGCGATTTCCAGAATCGCATTTTAAACGAAGACGAAGGAAAGGCCATTAATTAAGAATGCGGAGAACCAGTATGTATAGTGTGAAGAATGACTGTATCTTATCGATTCGTTTATTATTGTCGTCCTTTTACATTACTTGGAAATTCAAGCAAAAAGCCACCGTAGGAAAATGTATCTGGTTATCCACGGTGCCAGTTTAGCACAAAGTCTACAGTCATTAGATTTTGATGGAATTTTTTTTTACCACCTTTTATGGCACACATTGTGGTGGTGCAAGGTTGTACCTTCATTTATTTTATTTTTTTGACAACTTTTTGGTATTTTGGAAGGAAAATCACCTCTCGCTTTTGGTGGGTATGGTAAAGTTGATAACATTTGGTATGAAAGAAAAGGATGGCAACTGTTTTTGATGTTGACTTGTTTAGCAAGAATGACTATACTCCTTTGACTTCATCAAATTCTTTTATTTTAATTTCCTATATACGACAGAGGACTTATAACTCAAGGGGTTAAGAGCGATACTCTTACCTGAGGTCGTGTGTTCGAATCCTATTTTTCCAATATAGCTTATATTAAAGAAAGAACAAAATCTTAAATATGAAACCCCTTTAACCCCCCAATAGCCTTGCCAGACCTAAATTCAAGAAAGTTTTGTTTGTTGCCTTTTATTATCACGGGTGGGTAAGGTTGGGATCAATGCATGCCCATGCATGGTTTGGTCACTTGGTCCCGGGGCCATATATGGCTGCTAGAGGGGAAAAGTTGCAAACCCCATCTCATCTTTTTGAGTGAATGAAA